CTGGGCACTTTAATGAAGTTAATGATGGGGCCAATAATAATATGTACTTGCAATGCTAGCAGCAAACGTCTGCCCTGGGCTCCTCGCTGCTCTGAGCGCTTCCCAGACACTAACTCTATCAGTGCTCTGGCACTGAGACTATTTAGAGTTTAGAAAGACACTGGGGTTATTTTGTCACACTCTCATTGGGGTCTGGGACAGCAGCCTACTGTCCGGCATTCCCATTTATATTTCCGGAGGGACACACTAAGTAGAAGACACAAATCTCATTTCTGTCTCAGGTTGGATTTTGCCACCAAATGAGTTGTAAATGCTATTTCTCATTTTCAAAGTTTGTTTGTTTTTAACTTCAGAATTGCAAATAAGGGACAGTGGACCTCTGTTATTATTGGGTGTGGCTAAGAGTCACTTTACCTTAAGCACTCGGCGCCTGGCCTCTGTGAAATAACCTTAGAGCAGCTGGGCTACTCTGGGCACACCTGAGGACCTGTCTTATTGAGCAGCAGCCTGGCAAGGGGCCCACCTGGTGACCTATAATGAGTGTGCGGAAGGGCTGATAACAACAGACAGGCTAAGGCTCCATGAAACTTCCTGAGGGGGAGAATCCTGGAAGAAGAACTTCCGGGAAGGATGCGCCCTCCGCATAGGGGACCCTTTCCAAACCTCACTGAATCCTTTACCTAATAATCCACACACGTAACCATACACATAGTCTGAGTCTGTGGCATGGCAGCACCCTCTGGAACTCAGCAGAGAAATCTGTGCCGTGGGGAAGGAGAGGCTGGTGTCAGACACAATGGGGAGGCTGGGATGCCAGGGTACACCTCACGTCCACCTCGGGAACCAGCTTCGTGCTGATTCTTATTCACAAAATTATTGGTAGCATAGTGCCTAAGGCACTTGACTGCTAACCAGAAGGCTGGCGGTTCAAACCCACCAGCCACTCCTCAGAAGGAAGGTTGAGCAATCTACTTCCGTAGTGATACCGCCTCAGAAACCCAAGGAGGGGTCACTATGAGTCTGGGCCGACTGGATGGCATAAAACAATTGTCATTTGACAAAAAGGAGAAACAGAGGCACTGAGAGGCTGAGAAAGTTGCCCACGGTCTCACAGCAAGGTTTCCAAAGCAGGCAGACTGGTCCCGGAGTTGAGGCCCTGAGCGACCTCTGTATTTTATAAAATACCACAGTCTGATCTCATTTCCACCCTGGGGTGGGGTGGGAGGCTGGGCAGGCTTATCCTCCTAACTTTATAGAAGCGGAACCCAGGGCTCTCGAAGTGCCATGCCCTGCATGAGGCCCGGCAGCCTCCCCACCGTTGATGCCCTGCCCTGGAAGCACAGGCAGGAAGGGCAGAGGGCAGTGCTGGGCACTCGGGGGGAGCCCCGGAGGCCTGGAGAGGAGGCTCCGGTCCTTTCTAAAGACCTTTTTCCTTCAGGTTCAAACAAGCCCCACATCTCCAGCTGGGCCTCATCTGCAGGATAAGCACCATCAAGGACATGTTTATCCTCCCACAAGGATTTACAATGTGTTGGGAAAGACAAAATAAATCATTCCTCCCAGCTCAGCAGCAGAGTGGAGCCAGAGCTTCCCCAGCAAAGCCAGGACATTTCCCTCTGCCTTCCAGAAAAGGAGGTGGGCCAAGGTGAGGTGGGCTGAGACAAGGGGGTGTGAGGGGTAGAACCTGAGGACAGTGGGGGCAGGCAGAGGAGGGGGCACCGAGGTACAGAGGAGCCGGGAGACCTGATTCCCCAAACCAGCCCTGCTTGGGGCAGTGGGATCCTCCAGAGCCTTGAATCAAGCAGAGGTTTGACCACAAGATGGGGAGGCGGTGTGACAAGCGTGGGCCTGGGGTCAGAGGGATGAAGATGGAAATCTCTGCCTGGATGTACCCTGGCTATGTGGCCATGGCCAAAATCACTTCACTTTTCTGAGTCTGTTTGTTAAACTAGAAGATGGTTATAAAAATGAAATGTGTGCAAAGTTTGTTGTTGTTGTTATGTGCCGTCGAGTTGGACCCGACTCATAGCGACCCTTCCTTGGATTTCTGAGGCACACTATGGAAGTAGATTGCCCCATCTTCCTTCCGAGGAGTGACTGGTGGGTTCGAGCTGCCAGCCTTCTGGTTAGCAGTCAAGTGCCTTTAGGCATTACGCGTGTAAAGTTTAGCTCCTGGAATCCGTTGGGCTCCAAACAGACGGGGCCTTTATTACCATTAGGTGGTAACCACACAAGGGGTAAGGGGGTGAACTGCCCAAGATTCTCGCAGAGATAACCAACTTCTGAGTCAAAGGAACCAGCTCACTGGCACCTGGATCCTAGGTACCCCGATCATTACATACCATACATAGACTGAGCCCCAGAGAAGTCCCAGATGCTGGAGCGCAGAAACAAAGACCTGACCCACAACCCTTTCACTTGCAAAGAAGATTCCTTCCCTAACCACTGGCTTTCTGTGTAATAACCTGTCAAACTTCCTTGTCTATGAAATTCATGGTTTTTCCTTTGCCTGGGCTGCCAGGAAGCTCAGCATTTAAGTTAGCCCTCAGCAGCTGTGAGTATCTATATTGTCTTCTGGCTTTCCTTTTTCTCAGTGTGGGTTCTGATTTCTCTCATTCTGATTTTAGTTACCAGATGCCTGTACTGGGAGCCAGCTCCATTTCTCCCAGGAAACAGGTGGGGTGTGGATTATAAATAAGTAAAGCAGATCCCCACAATGAAAGTTTCACCAGCATGGACTCATATAAGCTGGACTACTTCAGTTAAAATCCTAGTTCTGCTGCTTACTAGCTGTGTGACCTTGGACAAGTTGCTTAACTTCTCTGTGCCTCAGATTCCACATATGAAGATGGGAGACTTTATAGTACTGACCTCATAGGATTGTTGTAAGGAATTAAATATGGCATGGGAAAACACTTAGTACCAAACAAGTTCTACGTTAAGTATGAGTCGTCAATATTGTTGTAATGTTTTCTTAGCCTTCTTCTAAGAGGTATCTGAGACAACTTGACCTTCAAGGGGTAAAATGCAGAAATCTTAGGAAAGAAGCTTCTGAGTCTCTATCTACTCACAGCCCACCTGGCTGCCAGCTCAACCAACCCCATGAGTGGACAAGAACTCGGAGCATGGGAGGGAGGCATGGCCCCAGGGCTCAGCTGGACCCCAGGCATGTGCAGTGAGGCCTGGGGTAGGTGGATGAACTCTGGGCTTGGATTTAGGGCTCCTGGTCCATCATCCTGAGTGGCCACTGCCCACCCCCACCACATCTGCAGAATGGGGGCTCTCACGCTACTGTGCACGGATGTAATGAGGATCAGTGAAGGAATGAAAGCAAAGTCTGGCAACCTACTGGGCAGATGATAGGTGCTAACCAGACGGCTGGCGGTTCAAACCCACCAGCCACTCCTCGGAAGGAAGGTTGGGCAATCCTACTTCCGTAGTGATACTGCCTTGAAAACCCAAGGAGGGGTCGCTATGAGTCGGGGCCGACTCGATGGCACATAACAACAACAACAACAACAAGTCAATTGTGGGGATGAGGGTGGTTTTAGTTACTACAATTGATGATGTTGTTACTCATCTCTTGGAGCATCTGTTCCCCCACCTGGCAGCATAACAAGTACACCACAGGGCTGTTGTGAGGAAGATATAATGTACGTCAGGCTTCTAGAAGAAGCACACACAGCAAATGTTCCATAAATGATAAATGTGACAGTCACCACTGAGCGTCAGCCAGACCTTCCCAGCTCCTTTCTCTCTGTGCCTCTGTCTTTAAAGTCTGGGTGCTAGACACTTACTTTCTCAGCCAGCCTTGAAGGCAGGGCATCCCTATGGTTCCATCTGAAGAACTCTGTAGGAGGACTCTTCTGATGAAAGGGATGGCCATGGTTGACATGGCCTTTTCCTTCTTCCAGCCACAACAGTGCAGATGTTACACCCGGAGCTGCAGCAGCCATCTTGTGGCCTTGCAGTAAGTGGTATGATAAGAAAAGCTGTCATGGTAGGGATGCTTAACAGACAGCCAGAGTCTGGGTCTCTGAACTTCCAAACCAGACTCTTGGTTAAGCCAACAACTAATGTCCTTAGAGCTTAAGCTGCAGTCTGGTTTTCTACTCCTTAAAGTTGACCACCTTCCCTCTGACACAGGACTAATGTTTTATTAGTCTCCTCCTCAAGCCTTGTCTGTAGATGGATTTAATACTTGGGAGCTCTGGTGGCATAGCACCTAAGGCATTTGCTAACCAGAAGTCTGGTGGTTCAAACCCACCAGCCACTCCTCGGAAGGAAGGTTGGGCAATCTATTTCCATAGTGACACCGCCTCAGAAACCCAAGGAGGGGTCTCTATGAGTCGGAATCGATTCAACGGCAGTGAGTAAGGAAGATATCTTGAAGGAAGCCTGTGGCATAGTGGTTAAAGTGCTTGACCGCTTACCAAAAGGCCAGTGATTCAAATCCACCTTGGGAGAAAGACCAGGCAGTCTGCTTCCATAAACCTTCGCAGTTTTGGAAACCCTGCGGGGCAGTTCTACCCTGTCTTATAGGGTCACTATGAGTCAGAATCGACTCCATGACAGTGGGTTTGCCTCTTTTTTTTTTTTTTTTTTTTTTAGAGGAGTCTTGAAAATAACAAGAACAACGTCAAGAGCTACCTGGGCCACACACTGGGCTACATGTTTCGCTGAGATAATTTGACTGCATCCTTGCAACAATCCTGTTATGTTTTATTACTGTCCCCATTTCACAGACAGTGAAACTGAGGCATAAAGAGGCAAGCAGCTTGCCCAAAGCCACACAGCTAGAAGGTGGTGGAACAGAGCTGAAATTCAGACCTGCACCTGCTGCTTTCTCTAACATCCCACCATTTGATCACAGAGGACAGGAGGGCTATCTAAAAGACCGCCCGTGGCACTGACTGGGTTTGTCTGTGACAACCAAGAGGTTTCTTGTCTATCCCCCATCCCAGGCCAATCCCTTGTGTGGCTGTGGGGAAGGGGCTTACCTCTCCCATTTTGAAGTAGAAGAATGTCCCAGCAGCCACCTGGGCAATGAGGATCAGGAGGAGGAAGGCGAAGTACTGGGGACAGAGAGGAGGCACGGAGTTAGCTGTGGGCTTCCCCAGCCAGGTACACCCCCAGGAGCCAGGGCTGGATGGGGGAAAAGGGGAGATCTGTACTCACCAGCCCCAGCAGGCAGCGGACCTCATTAACAGCACCGATGCAGCCCAGGAAGCCCATGAGCATGGTGACGGCCCCCACAGCAATGAAGACATAGGCCCCCACCTTGAGCCAGTTGGAGGAGGTCTCTGGAGGGGAAGGGGAGAGGGGCGTTGGCTCCAGCCCAGCTGGCCCGCTTCACTAAGTTCAGAATCAGGGCAGGGCATCATGCTCCAAGACTGCTCCCCAAGCCTCCCCTCAAGAGTTGGCCTGTGAGGGCCACCCACGTTTCCCTGCTGGGCTCTCGCCACCCAATGCGGAACCTGCTCCTTCGTCCCCTTGGCTGTTGCCTACCCTAAATGTGCTGCCCGTGTAAAACTGTGACCCATGCCGATTCCACCCCATCCCCACTTTATTTTTCCTCTTCAGCTCTCATCAGGACCAGGCAGACTTGGCATTCACTGGTTTATATTTTATCTTGCTCAAGGTCTGCCTTCCCCACAAGAATATGAGGTACACAGGGGCAGGGGCTTGGTTTGTTTCTTGTTTCTGCTGAACCCTCAAGACTGGGAACAGGGTCTGGCACACAAGATGCTTTTTGAATATCTACCAGCAGTGGGAACAGCAGAGACAAAGCCTAGGAAGGAGTAAGTGTTATGTATTTGGAGAAAGGAAAGAAGGCAAGAAAGAATGGAAGGGTGTGAATGAGAAAGGAAGGGCAATGGCTGTGCTCAGAGGCCATGGCTGAGCTGCAGGTGGATAAACCCGCCAGGCAGGTGGGTCCAGCAGTCCCATCAGGACACTTGCCCAGCATTTTCCAAGAATCCCAACAGATCAAAGACAGTAAAACTCAGGCCAGTTTCCAGCCTGGGAATAGGAAATGCTCTACCCCAGGGGTGGAGGTTGGAGGGATAATCTTCCCCACAGGCGGGTAGCTGCAGACTTGCTCCCAGGCCAGTCTCAAATGCCCTGGGAGGGGACCGGAGTTGGATGTTTTGAGAAAGCTGCATATTAGCGATGCAGATTCCTGGGCCCATCACAGTCAGACAAAGACATTCCCAAGAGAAGGCCTGGAATCTGGAATTTAAATGTGCTCCCCTAAGGACTGAGGAACAGCCAGGGTTGACAGTTGAACTTCAGCAGGGAGAACACAGGTGTGGGTGGCCTTGACTCCCCAGGGTACCTCAGAGGGGGCAAGACCCCACCTTGACCATGAGGATCCCACCTTGGTCATGAAGGGCATTAGAATCCTTAGTGACAATGAGTACAAAGCTGGACAGTGGGAGGAGGAGGGAGAATGATGCAGCTCCACTTCCTGGGCATGGACAGAAAGTTCTGGGGCTTGGGAAAGGCTCTGGCTGGCCCACCCCCACGTTCAGGGCACGGGCGCAGGGCTGCCTGCACCCAGCTCCTTGCAGGAGCCCTCAGGGAGTCCAGGCTGCGCCCCAGCTGGGGTGAGCCTCCTGGTGGGGAGCACCAGCCTCCTCACTTCCCTGACTCTCAGCAATCAACATGGGCAGGGAGGGGCCCTCAAATGTCATCTTTCTGAAGCTTCCTGGGCTTGGGTGCCAGCAACTCCTCCCAGAAGGAGGAACTGGCAGTTCCTGGAAGTTCACGGGGTGCTGGCTGGAGGCAGACCCTGTGTCCAGTCCAAGCCACCCTGCTCAATTTCCACAATAACCCTCTGAGGCAGCCATTCTCATTCTGATGTGTCTATAAGGACCCCGAGGCTGAGAGGCTGCAGGGGTGCCCAGCAGGCAAGGCCCGGGGCTCAGGGCCTGGCTCAGGTCATGTAGCCTGAGCCAATCTGCACAGTCTCTGTTTCTCAGAGCATTCATTGACACCAACCTCTGTCCTCACCCAGAGTCTCAGGTCTACCCCAAATCTGAGCAACCTGACCTAGGAAGGTGGCAAGTGCATATCTGGGGGTCCCCACCCACCAAACATGGCAGACAAATTCTCATGGTCTTGCTGAGTCGAGGAGGGCCCAGAGAGGTAGAGTGGAAGTGGCCCGAACCAAAACAGACTGTATCCAAGAGAAGTGGGCTCTAAGCAGAGTTCCACTGCTAACGTGATTGACCCTGGGCAAGCCCGTTCTGGGCCTCTATTTCTCTCTCTGTAAAATGGGGCTAATAATTCCCACTTCTAAAAGATGTTAAAAGGATTCAATTTTATGTTACTTATTTAACTATTCACCAGAAGTGGTGCTAAACTCTTTTCAGATATTACCTCATTTAATTTCTCACAAGAACTGTGTGAGGTGTGTTTATTAGTATCTCCTCTTTATAGGTGAAGAAACTGAAGCATAGAGAGAGATGAAATAACTTGCCTGAGGCCACACAGCTAATTGGTAGCAGAGCCAGGATTTGAACCCTGACTCCAGAGTCTGTGCTATTGCTTTCTCTTGTTAAGGTGCTAACAAGTGGTGTGCATGGTATAAGGGTACAGGGGTTAAGGGTATATGCTTGGAGAGCCACATGCCTGGGTCTAAATCCCACCAGCCACATCTCCCAACTATGTGCCTTGGACAAGTTACTTCAGCTCTGTGTGCCTCGATTTCCTCCTATGTAAACTGGGGATAATAATGCCTAGAACCAGCACACAGAAGGTCAGGAGCCCTGGCTTCTCTGTTTCCACCCTCACTTGCTATATGACTTTTAGCAAGTCATTTCTCTCCTCTATGAGCCTCAGTTTACCCAAGCTTATAGCAAGTGGGCTAGTAGATCTGTGTTTCTGAATGCTGGCTACATGGGGACTCACCGAAAGCCTTTTAAAAACATCTGTGAGTGGCCTCACACCCACACCACTGGAATCAAATCCTATGGTGTGGGGCAGTATAGTGGTTAAAGCATTCAGCTGCTAATAAAAGGTCTGCAGTTCAAACCCACCAGCCACTCCTCAGGAAAAAGATGAAGCAGTCTGCTTCCATAAAGATTTACAGCCTTGGAAACCCTATGGGGCAGTTCCACTCTGTCCTGTAGGGTAGCTATGAATTGGAATTGACTCAATGGCAATGGGTGAGGTGGGGCCCGAGGAATTTGTAAAAAGCATCCTGTGCATGTAGGGGGCTTCCAACACCTGGCCAGCTGCAGATTCTCATACTTGCACAAGGAGAAGGCCAGAGAAGGGCTAGGGGTATGGGGCGCAGAGTGCAGAAATGTGAGTGGGTGAACTGAGCATCCAGACTTTGCCCTGTGGCCCAGGAAGCAGGAGGCTGGGACTAGTTGGGGTCCAGAGGTGAGTTGTACGGGGAAAGCAGACACCCAGATGAGCCAGAACACCCAGCCTCTGCCCCTAGAAAGGGGATGCTGTCCACAGCCCCACAACACAGCAGATATGGCAGAGAGTGGATCGTCCCACCACATGCAGGCAAGACCTGACCCCCTAGAGCAGGGTGACAGGTGTGGCCCTTCCATCACCCATGCCCAGCCTGGTTCCATTTTATTCAAATTAGTCAGCTGTCACAGGGCTGAGTCCAAACCTGCTGCTGTGAGCAGCTGCTACGAGGGGAAGTGAACTTAGGAGGCCCTCAGTGGAGGAGTGGTGTCACTGTGTCCCTTGGGGCCTCTGGCTTTGCCTCCCTGACTCAGGGAGTCTGTGAGAAGCCAGTGCAGCAAGCCCAGAAGGCTGCCTGGGAGAGATGGAGCAGACCCCAGAGGGCTCTTATCACTGGGCAGGAATGCCTTGGACTTTCCTCTAAAGAACAGGAGAAGGGGCTTATGGTTCACCCTGCTACATGCAGCCTTTAGGCTGAAAACTTTTGGGGTTTGAATCCCACCTCGACCATTCAGAAACTGTAACTAGAGCAAGTGACTTTGCCTCTCTGTGCCTCAGTTGCTTCATTTGTAAGGTATGAATAGAACAGTGCCTTCCGCGTGGGGCTGTTGTGGACTGTTGTTAGGTGCTGTCCAGTCAGCTGACTCATAGTGAGCTCCTACAACAGAATGAAATGCTGTCTCCTGTGCCATCCTCACCATAGGATGGAAGTGTTAGCCCACTGTGGCAACCACTGTATCACCCCATCTTGTGACCACTTATATATACATCATGCTTGGCACTGTGACTGGTACATAGCAAGTGAAATTAAATGGCAGCTGCCTTTGGCATCTTCCTTATCTGTGCATCTGCCCAAGCAATCTCATTGGTGTCTTTCAGCCACACCTGACAGTCTACCTTTCCTGGCTCTTCCCTGTCTCCCTCTGCAATGGGAAGGGGAGAGACTGTTGCCCACATTTTGCTGAATAGAAATGGAGGGACAGAGAATGTAAGGAACTTTCTCAAGGTCAGTGCCACGGGAAGGGGCCGGGATGGGAAAGCTAGTCTCCCTTACCCCCCAGCATTCACAACACAGCAGCAGCCTTGTATGGGGAGGGAGAAAAAATTTCTTCCGGAAACCCCCATGGAGAACCCATGGTGTAGCAGTCAGCAGCAGGACCTGGCAAGGCCCTGAGATTAGCTGGAAAACCAACAGCCATTGGAAAACCACAGCTCCCATAGGTGAGGCCTTGCTGTCCCACCCTCCCCAATGGAGCAGGCTGAGGGCAGGAGACACAGAAGGGTGCTTACGGAGGACAGAGATGAAACTGCTCCTGTCGACCAGGATCCATACCCCGAAGCCCAGGATCACTGCACCCAGAAGCTGGAAGGAGAAGGGGCATTTAATAAGGAATCCAAGAGTGGGTGGGGTGCAAGGGTGTCTCCCAGCTGCCCCTGTGGGCCAGGCCAGGGAGAGACACAGGGGAGACCACCTCCATTCTTCTCTAGCCTGTGGAGGTCAGGATGACCTCAGGGCCCAAACCCCAAGTCCTTGGCCAACCCAGCAAACTAGGCACCAGGGCCACGTGTGCCCATCCCACTGCCCACATGGTCAAGCTGAACCCACAGCTCCGAGAGCCCCAGCCTCCTGCCCAGGGGGTGTCTTGGCCCTTTCCAGTACTCATGCCCTTGACTCCAGCCCAGCTTGGGACTGGGAGCTTCCCAAACAACCCAGGTTCTAGGAAAGACCCTCCAAGGAGTTGAACCAAACCAAAACCAAACCCGCTACCACTGAGTCCATTCTGACTCACAACGACCCTACAGGATAGGGTAGAACTGCCCCGTAGGGTATCCAGGGCTGTAAAACTTCACGGAAGTAGACGGCCTCTTATTTTTCTCCTATAGAGCAGATGGTGGGTTTGAATCATCGATCTTTTGATTAGCAGCCAAATGCTTTAACCACTATGCCACCAGAGCTTCCTGGACTTGAGCATCAAAGTCCAAATTGTCCTTCAGTTCCAGGACTACCTCCTCTGGGAGCTTTCCCTGCCTCCCCTAGGCATACTTGTTCTGTGCTGTCAAGTCAATTTCAACTCATGGGGACCCTATAGGACAGAGCAGAAGTGTCCCATAGGGTTTCCTCCAATGGAGGAGCCTTGATGCACAATGGTTAAAGTGCTTGGCTACTAACCAAAAAATCAGAGGTTTGAATCCACCAGCCACTCCACAGGAGAAAGACGTGGCAGTCTGCTTCTGCAAAGATTTACAGCCTTGCACTCTATGGGGCAGTTCTACCCTGTCCCATAGAGTCACTGTGAGTCAGAATTGACTCAATGGCAGTATTACTCTTTACAGAATCAGATTGTAAATGTATGACTAGAAAGGTTAACAATTGAAGGGCAAGTGGAATAGGCTCTGGGATTCCCTGCTGCTGCCTCCCCAGGACAGGGCCCACAACCTGCACTCGCCTCCCCAGGGGCAGTCCCAGTCAAGCTCTGCCACCCCATAAAGCTGGGGAAGTACCTGCAGCCTCTGGGCAAAGGCACAGTTTCCCTCATGAGGCTGGCCTTTGCCTGGGCCTGGCCTGGGCCCGCCTGGGAGATAAGCCATTTAGAGCATCCCGGCCCTCCTAGACAATGCCACCAGTCCTGCACTCCCCTGCATCCAGGAGGCCTTGGCTGACCTCCTCAAGGAGGTCAAGTGCCATTACCTGCCTTCCCAGGGGTCTAGCCTCCATTCCTAGCATTCACCTCAACCACACTTTTATAATCCCTTTGAGTATTCATTTGATTAAACTCCTCCCCCACCCAGATGGGTACAGAAACTGTGACTGTCACCCAACCCCACAGTAGGGTCTGAATCCACAGAGGCATCAGATACACATCTGTGGAGTGAATGAATAAACACACATCTCTAACTTCTTCTTTCCTTCTCACCCCACTCTAGTAAAAGTCTCTCCTGCCCACCCCTCCAAACCACATCTTTATAAGTCACCCTGGGCCCCAGCACACAGGAAGTTAACACCTGACTCTCGCCAGTGCCCAGTAGGAGCTGGCTGAGGCCCCTAAAGCCCGAGAAAAATGCTGCCAGCCTCTGGCTCCTTAGGGCAGCCTGGGAACAGGACAGGAAGGGATGCCTGGTCAAAATCATCAACTCCCTCATTTTTCCCACATGGGAGAAGGGGGCAAGATTGACTCCTAGGCCCTGAGCCCCAAGAACTCTGCCCCCTGGGTCCCTAGTCCAACCCTTCTGTCTGGTCCTTCAACCCCTGTGATGGAGCCATGGGCCCTACCCTCACATCCTAGTGGCTGGCCCTTTTAAGCTAGGCTTTGGCCCAGGGGAAGCTGGGCTCTGGCTGCCTGGACAACTGCTTCCCAACAGCCTGGACCATCCCAGAGAGGCCTGACTGCCAAGCTGGGGAAGCCCCAGTGCCTAGGCCTTGCCCTGGTGGGTTCCAGGCCTGGCTGTGGCCTGTGGAAGGCCACCTGCAGTGTGGCCTCAGTGTGGCCCATGAACCTACCTGTAACTATCTGTGTGCTGGGTTAAAGTGTGTGTGTGGGAGAGGGTGTGAGGATTCTTTCCCAAATTTTCTCTAAATTCTATGTAACATATTTTTTTTTTCTTTTTCTTTTTTATTAGGATTTGGGTGAAGATTTACAGAGTAAATTCACTTTTCATACAGCAGTTCACATATACTTTGTCTCATGTCATTGACCAAAATTTACAATGCAGCAGCTCCCCTCCCAATTCCTCCCCATAGTTACCTCCTCCCCGTGTCCATCCCTTCATACTCTTCTGCACCCTGAGCTATCTCCCTGTGCATAAGCAGCCCTTCCTTCTCCCATGATTTAAATTCTATGTAACATATTTTAAAACTGTTATTTTAGTTCACAAGCAATTCATGTCTACTATAGAAACTATGACTCGGGGCCCACTCGACGGCACATAACAACAACAACAACAACACAGAAAATCTGCAACATATAGAGAAACAAAGAATAATGTGAAAATTCTTAGGAATTTTTGACTCGACAGCAATGAGCTTGGTTTGGTTATTTTCTCTAGAAATAGTCATGGATGTGTACAATTTTTAAAAATAGAGTTGGGTCATAATAAACATCATAAAAACATCCTAGTGAATAAAGTAATTCTTTAACAGCTGGTAGGTTTGAACCACTAACCTTCTGGTTAGCAGTCAGAGGCACTATGCCACCAGAGCTCCTTTTTAATAGCATAGAACGAACTAATGGCATGGCGATGCTAGAGTGTGTATGTAAGGTGAAGCCACCGCCTCAACACTTGGGCTGCGAAGCCTCTCCAGACCACCCCCAACTCTCTCTCTCTCTCTCTCTCTCTCACACACACACACACACACACACACACCATCATCCTGGCAGCTCCAAGGCAGCAGGAGTCTGTCGATGTCAGGCCAGAAAGGAAAACCCAAGCCCCAGGAAAACTAGCTCCAGATGTGCCACGCAGCTAACATCTGGATGGCCCCATAGTTTGGGAGACCCTAGTGAGCCCCACCAGGGTGGATCTGGGGAAGGTGGAATGTGTTCCCCCAAGAGATCCCCTGAAACTCATCTGGCCCAGAGCCTGTTCTCCTTCTGCCCACCCTGTTGGAACTCAGGGAGAGTCCCCACAAAGAGGGGAGGGGTGCTGTGGGGCAGCTGAGAGTCAGAAGTGGGACAGGTAAACTTCAGAGATGGTGGAGGAAGGTGGGATTGGAGAGATTCCAGAACCTCTCGGTGCTCCAGGGGAGGGTAAGTCAGGGGAAGGAACCCGGTGCACTGCCAAAGAGCCAGCCGGGAATTCCAGGAATCTCCTAACAACCCCCACCCAATGCCAAGCTCTGTCTTCAGCCCCACCAGCCACACCTTGACTACCCGTCTCTACGCCCTAGACATCTGAGGGTCTTGGGCTGTGATGCCCTGGAGTGGGAGTCTTCGTTGGCGTGGTTGGGGCAGCACTGGCCATACTTACAAAGAAGAGCAAGTTGAAGAGGAAGAGAAAGTATTTGGTGACTTTGATACAGGCTGACCCCATCCTGATGGTCCTGGAACTCCCTGGGGAGAAGAAAGAGAGGTAGGTCAGTGCGGGATGGGACTGGGCCCAGGAGTGGGGAGGGGAGAGCACCCATCATCTGCCAGCCCCAAATCATCTCAGTCCACCCCCACAACAACGCAATGAGGCAGGAGCTAACATTGTGCCTCTTTTGGGGGCACTGAGGCCCAGAGAGGCTAGACGGTGGGCCCAAAGTCACACAGCTAGGAGGTAAGATCCTTGGAGCAGGCTATTTGATGCTTGACTGGTGTGGTTGGTTCAGGCTCAGCCACTCCACCAGGCCTGGGGCTGAAGGAAAATTATATAGGGTGACCCTTCCTTCCCCAGGCTCCGAGACTCACCCAGCTGGGCTCTGGTCAAAGGCAGGAGACAAGCAAGTTAGGGAGTTAGCTGGAGACTGATGGAAAACAAGGGGAAGCCTGTGGTTTAGTCCACAGACTCACAGACTTCCTGGGACTAAGGGGCTGGGGCTGCTGGGCTGAGAAGGAGAGCCCTGGCTTCTCTCAGAAAATGGACCGAGGGTCCTCCTCCCCCAGCCTTCTTAGTACATTCAAATACAGACCACCACAAATAAAAACCGCCCATCACCTCACCCACCTCAGAGACACAAACTGTCGTCGTTTTAGTGGCTATACTTCCTGTTGTGTGTGTTTGTATAACATATGGTTTTACACAAAATTGGGCTCACACAGTGCAGATTGTTTTGTGGCCTGCTTTTTCCATTCTACAATACGAAAAAGAGGAAGGCAAGGCCCTCAGTGAGATGGATTGGCATAGTGGCTGCAATGACGGGCTCAGGTCGAGCAAGGACTGTGAGGCTGGCACAGGGCTGAGCAGTGTTTCCTTCTGTTGTACACAGGGTTGCTATGAGTGGGAGCCGATTCGACGGCACCTGAAAGCAACATACATTAGAAAAATCTCTGTGCGCTGATGAAGGAGGCCTGGTGATACAGAGGTTAAAGGCTCTCAGCTGCTGACCAAAAAGTCGGCAGTTTCTACTCACCAGTCACTTCACGGGAGAAGGATGAGGCAGTATGCTTCCATAAAGATTATAGACTTGAAAACACTGTGGATCAACTCCACTCTGTCCTGTAGGGTGGCTAGGAGTCAGAATTGATTTGACAGCAATGGTGTTGTGCATCTTTTTACAACATAATTTTAAATGTTACATAGAAGTCCATCCTATTAATCATTGTTTATTAACATTTTGGAGGTTACAGACTCTCCCAGAAAATTTATACACAGGAAACATTTTACAACTAATTTCTGGGGATTCATAGACCCCGTGAAGCCCATTCAGGAACCCTAAGGACCCAGGTTAAGGTCCCATGTGGAGCTGTACCACAAAGCATTTCCTCAATACCCTAAGACTGGACACACAGGTAGTTTTTTTATTTTTCATAGTCACCCTGGGTGACACAGCATCTGCTTCAGATATGAGACAAGCTATGCTTGGGCACGCCATGCCCTCCACCCCAAAGGATCCCAGGGTGGGTGAGGACTCAGGAAGGGAGGAAGAGGAGAGCTGGAAACCCAGCCAGACAACCAAGTAATAGTAGCCATCAGCCACAGGCCCTGTGGGACAAGGGAAGCTAGCTCTGGGCCCTGGGACAGCTGTATGGGCAGAGCTGGGCTCAGGGGGCACCAGTCATGTTCCCACTGCCCTATGGAGGGGGAAGGGAGGGGGAAAGGCAGGCCACAGAGCAGAAGAGAAGGAGGGTGCAAGGCATGGTCTTCACCACTTCCTCCTTGTACAAGGGCCGAAACCAAACCCAACCCACTGCCGTCAAGTTGATTCCAACTCACGGTGACCCTACAGGACAGAGTAGAACTGTCTCGTAGGATTTCCAAGGCTATAAATCTTCATGGAAGCAGACTGCCTCATCTTTCTCCCATGGGTTCAAACCATAACCTTCTGGTTAGCAGCTGACTGCCTTAACCACTGCACCACCAGAGTGCCACAAGGACTGAAAGACGGTCCTAAAGTCCAGCAAAGCAGAGCTGCCCTGTGTGTGCATAATTGTCCACCCCTCTCTGGACAGATGAGAATTCACAACTAAGATCTCAAAGCTGACTTCTCTTCACCATCCTTGTCAACATGGGAGCTCAGTTTCTACTTTATAGAAGACTGGGTGGGAGTGGGGTGGGGAACATCATGACTTCTCAAGAATCCATGTTGGCTTTCTGGCAGCCCTGTTAGGAAGGCTTTATTTAGCTGCCTTCTTGTGGGTCAGATTTGGGCTCAAGATCAAGCAAAGGTGTCCAGAGAAGGCAAAGGCTGCCTAGGTGATAATGAGTTCCCCGTCACAAGGGGTATGGAAGCAAAGTCTACATAAATATTTATGGGGGATTCAAGTGCCACATGGGGGAATTACACTAAATAATCTCAGACCTTTGTGTCTTCTAGGATCCAAGACACAGCAGAGATGGTGACTCAGGAGTCAGAAGTCTAGCCTTGGCAACTCTGTCAGGGACCTCCCCAAGAGCTAAAGAGGAGAAAACAAGGAACCCCCACATCAGGAGAGTCAGAGAGCCATAGTTCCAAGAACATCAAACCCAGGCTGGCCTGAGTGAGGCCCGCCCAGGACACTCCACATAAAGGAGAGCTATTGTTTCTTCTCTCTGCCCCCAGCACAGCGCCTGACAGAGCACAGGCATGTCGTAAACTTGTGCAGGACACAACAGAGAGGAAAGACGCTTGCAGAGCCAGGCGTGTTTGTCTTTCCTACATGGACCTGCTTTGTTTCAGCCTGGCTGGATCTCCTCCCAGTAAAAGACATGGTCCAGCCTCGGCCCCAAGCAGCAGGCAGATAAATCATCTCCCCACCAGAAGAATGCATCTAAATGCCTTCCAGTGGCCAATGTCTTGAGTGGGGTGCCTCTTGCCTTCTCTGTGAAATTGGAGAAGTGTGGAAACCATCCTTTGGCAATTCTGCATCAGGCCCGCTCTCTTGCACACTTCCAGAGAGTCCGGGAGGGGATTTCTACATTTCCCAGCTCACACATTCTGGGGTCAGTCTGGGTCTCTACAGCCACTTTGCAACGGGTAGAGGCATTCAGAAAGGGGCAGTTTTTAGAAGAGAGTAAATACTTGGTTAGCTGAGGGAGAAGGAGTGAGCAGCACCTACTACGAGCACCCAGGAGCCCTGGTGATGCAGTGGTATAAGTGCTAGAGACAGATGGGCAGTCTGCTTCCATAAAGATTACAGCCTTGGAAACCCCATGGGGCGATTCTATCCTGCTCTATAGGGTCACTATGAGTCTGAATCAACTCGACAGCAATAGGTTTTATGAGCATCTACTATGTCCTGGCCATTTGCACACCTTATCTCTTTAATGCTTACAACCAGCTCACTGTTGTTAGATGCAGTGGAGCTGACTTAGCCTCATGGATACCTCATGTGTGACAGAGAACTGCCCCCATAGGGTTCTCTGGGCTGTAATCTTTACAGGAGCAGACTGCCAAGTCTTTTTCCCATAGGGCTGGTGCACAGGTTCAAACCACTAACCTTTCAGGTGGCAGACAAGTACTTAACCACTGTGCCACCAGGACTCCTTACTAGCCCATTAGCACTAGGTATTCCTATCTCTACGGGACCTGGGGCTCAGAGAGGTTACATAACTTGTTCCAGGGCCCCACAGCTAGTAAGTGGTGCTGGTTCTCAGCCCAGTAGCACTCCAGAGTCCACGATCTTTCCACTGTGAAGTGCTGCCTCCCTGGGACTGGGCAAGATTTTACAGAGGGCTCTCTGGGTGTGGTTGGGATTGCTTGGCCTGGGTAAGCAGTGAGACCAAGGTGATTGCTCAAGAGTTCTGGTTTGCTGAGGAACACAGAGGCCAGGGAAGAAACCTTGTTGCTAATGCCCCAGCTTCAACAGTGTCAAACCCAGGACTCCAGCAGAGGCAGCTTGGCTGGCACACCCCTGATATTCCAAACCCCAAGTCACCCATACAAATTGTACCAGGAGCTGGGCTCAGCCCTCCAGCACTCTATAGGCATACTGAGGCACAGAGGGGTGAAGAAAGTTGCCCCAGGTTAAAGTGTACCAGCAAGGACCAGAAGCCATACCATCTGACCCTGGAGCCCTGGCCCCATCCTCCCACCCAGGAGGTAGCTAGGTGAGCTCAGAGGCTAAAACAGGATCTGGGCAGCCCCAGGATTGGAAGGTGGTTCAGCCAATTGGGATAGGAGCAGGTCCTTGGAACCTGAACCTGGGTGGGGGGCTCCAGGACACTTTTAGCTGAGATACAAGATGCAAAGCCTTCTTCCTGTAAGTGCAGTCTGCCTGGTGTGCACAGGGGATGGGCAATGAACAGAGTTCTCCACAGTCTACACAAAGGGCAGGGGCCAGCTCTAGGTGGGGTGCCCACCCTGGCCACCCATGGTGTGGTATGGCATCAGCTACAAGGAACCCACAACCACCACTGAGACCAGAGAAAATCCTAAATTTGGATTCTGAGGGCTCAGGGTTAAATTCCAGCTCTGCCCTCCCATTGAGCGAGTCTTAGCCTCAGTGTCCTCATCTATGGGGCAGTAATAGGGGCTGGTGTTGGACAGGGGTTCGCAAACTACAGCCCATGGGTCACATACAGCACACCACCTGTTTTTTGCACTTCCTGGGAAGTAGGAATGCATTTTACATTTTTAAATAGTTGGGAAAAGAAATCAAAAGAAGATTTTGGAATGTATGATAATTATGTAAAATTCATATTTCAATGTTCCTAGATAAGGTTGCTTATAAATAAACTGTGCTGGTTTAGGTATTGCCTATAACTGCTATAAGAAACCCTGGTGGTTCAATGATTGAGCACTCAGCAGCTAAGAAAAGGTTGGCAGTTCGAACCCACCCAGTGACTCTGCAGGAGAAAGACTTGGCATTCTACTTCCATAAAGATTAAAACCAAAACCAAACTCACTGCCACTGAGTCAATTCCAACTCAGAGTGACGCCCATTGGGTTTCCAAGGCTGTAAATCTTTACG